CACCCCTCTATTTATAGGGGGAAGGGAGAAGGGGGCCGGCCCCTCTAGATCCATCTAGAGGGGGGCGGCGGCCAAGGGGAGGGGGGACTTGCCCCCCATGCAAGGGGCGGCGCCCCCTCTAGGGTTCCCCCCTCAACCCTAGGCGCAAGGGCCCAGGGGAGGGGGTGCGTCAAGCCCACCAGGGGCTGGCCAACTCCCCACGCAGCCCAAGTGGCCCCCCGGGAGGGGTGGCCCCTCCCGGTGGACCCCCGGAACCCTTCCGGTGGCCCTGGTACAATATCGGTATGCCCTCGAAACTTTCCGGTGTCCTTTTAACAACTTCCCATATATAAATCTTTACCTCCGGACCCTTCTGGAACTCCTCGTGACGTCCGGGATCTCATCCGGGTCTCCGAACAACATTCGGTAGTCACATACTAGTCCTCCTAATAACCCTAGCGTCACCGAACCTTAAGTGTGAAGACCCTACGGGTTCGGGAGACACGCAGACATGACCGAGATGACTCTCGGGCAATAACCAACAGCGGGGTCTGGATACCCATGTTGGCTCCCACATGCTCCTCGATGATCTCATCGGTTGAACCACGATGTCGAGGATTCGATCAAACCCTGTATGCAATTCCCTTTGTCAATCGGTACGTTACTTGCCCGAGACTCGATCGTCGGTATCCCAATACCTTGTTCAGTCTCGTTACCGGCAAGTCACTTTACTCGTACCGTAATGCATGATCCCGTGGCCAACACCTTGGTCACCTTGAGCTCATTATGATGATGCATTACCGAGTGGGCCCAGAGATACCTCTCCGTCATACGGAGTGACAAATCCCAGTCTCGATCCGTGTCAACCCAACAGACACTTTCGGAGATACCTGTAATGCACCTTTATAGTCACCCAGTTACGTTGTGACGTTTGATACACCCAAGGCACTCCTACGGTATCCGGGAGTTACACGATCTCATGGTCGAAGGAAGAGATACTTGACATTGGCAAAGCTCTAGCAAACGAACTACACGATCTTTTATGCTATGCTTAGGATTGGGTCTTGTCCATCACATCATTCTCCTAATGATATGATCCCGTTATCAACGACATCCAATGTCCATAGTCAGGAAACCATGACTATCTGTTGATCACAACGAGCTAGTCAACTAGAGGCTCACTAGGGACATATTGTGGTCTAAGTGTTCACACGTGTATTACGATTTCCGGATAATACAGTTATAGACTGAACAAAAGACAATTATCATGAACAATGAAATATAATAATACTTTTATTATTGCCTCTAGGGCATATTTCCAACAATTCGGCCTCTAGGGACGGGGAAGCCGCACGCTTCTTCTCACCTTCAGAGTGAGGATCGTCCCCTTCTGCTTCCCCCTCTTCGTCTTCAGAAGAATGAGCGTCGCTAGAGTCTTCGGATTTTGCGTCTGAAGCCTCGCGGTGACGGAGGCCACTCCGTGTCTTCTTGACCTTCTTGGAGTCCTCCTTCTTTGGCGCCTCGTAAGGCGCGGGGACCAGCATCTTCGTTAGAAGAGGCCCGGCAGGTTCCTCCGGCAGCGGGGCCGGATAATGTATCCACTCCACCTTCTTTATCCATCCCTGGGGTCATGATGAAACGATTAAAATGTCTCCCTCATGACATGCCAACTGAAGCACGGGTGGACATGGTGTGGCTGTAACTTACCGGGCTTGCAGAATGGGATAATTGATACCCACGGTCCTCGGCGGAGTCTTGCCGGACTTGAAGAGCACCTTCCAGATATCCTTGTGGGAGGAAACATAGAGCTCCCGAAGGGTTTGGTGCTCGGTTGGGTCGAACTCCCACAAAGTGCAGGCTCAGCGCTGGGAAGGGAGCACCAGGCGAACTAGCATCACCTGGACTACGTCGACGAGTTTGACGTCCTTGTCGACCACGCTCTGAACGCGCGTCTGGAGCAGTGACAGCTCATCGGACGAGGACCAGTTCGGGCCCTTCTTGGGCCAGGACGTGAGCGGCAGTGGGGCTCCGGATCTGAACTCGGGAGCTGCGGCCCACTTTTTGCCGCGTGGTTCGGTGATGTAGAACCACTGCTGCTGCCACTCCTTGACAGAGTCGTTGAAGGCGCCCTTCGGCCAAACGGCCTTGGGCATCTTGCTCACCATGGCGCCGCCGCACTCGGCGTGTTCGCCACTCACCACCTTGGGCTTCACATTGAAAATCTTCAGCCACAGGCCGAAGTGAGGCGAGATCCGAAGAAAGGCCTCGCACACGACGATGAATGTCGAGATATTGAGGAAAGAGTTGGGGGAAAGATCATGAAAATCAATCTCATAGTAATACATGACTCCATGGACAAATGGGTGGAGGGGAAACCCGAGCCCACGGACGAAATGGGGAAGGAACATGACTCTCTCGTGAGGCTCCGAAGTGGGGACGACCTGTCCCGCCGGTGGGAGACGGTGGCCAATCTCCTTGGCTAGATACCCGGGTTCCCGGAGCTTCTTGATATCCTTCTCCCGGATGGTAGAGGCCATCCATCTGCCTCCTGCTCCGGATCCGGACATCTTTGGAAAACCTCTCTTCGATGGAAAAGAAGAGTACTTGGGCGTTAGGGCTCGAACAGAGGGGAATGGGCTAGCGGAAGGAGAAGGCTTGGGTAAAGAGAAAGAGACCTTATCTCTTTATAGGGACGGTAAATGCTTTTTGCGCCTCCCCACTCGCCTGGTGGAACCCGTTCGCCTCCCACTCGCCGCGATTAGCTGTACGATTGGATTACCCATATCCGTATTGATGAGAAACCCGTGATAAGGGGACACGATCTCTGCTTCGACAAGACGTGCCAAGGAAACCGCCTCGCAATATACGCTGAGGCTGGATGTGGAAAAACGGTTCGGATAATGACCCGACCTTGGTGACATGTCACGTTGTCTAGGAAGTTGCTAGCAGCTTGCTTTTCTGAAATATCATTCTCTCTACGGCGATACGTGAGGATCATTTTGCGGATCCGAGCACGGTTGAAGTGTTCGGTAATTACTTTGGAGTATTCGGAGAAGGAACCCGCCTTGCAATGCTGAAGACAGGACTGCGCGCCGGAATCATCGTCATTGAGGCCTGGTTCAGGGGCTACTGAGGGAGTCCTGGATTAGGTGGTATCCGGACAGCCGGATTATATACATCGTCCGAACTATTGAAGCGTGAAGATACAAGACTCAAGACTCCGTCCTGTGTCAGGATGGGACTCTCCTTTGCGTGGAAGACAAGCTTGGCGATCCGGATATTGTGTTTCCTTCCTTGTAACCGACTCCATGTAAACCCTAGCCCTCTCCGGTGTCTATATAAACCGGAGAGGTTGGTCCTTAGAAGGCCGATCGCAATTACAATCATACCATCATAGGCTAGCTGTTAGGGTTTAGCCTCTACGATCTCGTGGTAGGTCTACTCTTGTACTACTCATATCTTCAATATTAATCAAGCAGGAAGTAGGGTTTTACCTCCATCGAGAGGGCCCGAACCTAGGTAAACATTGTGTCCCTTGCTTCATGTTACCATCAGCCCAAGACGCACAGATCGGGACCCCCTACCCTAGATCCGCCGGTTTTGACACCGACAGGCGGCACAAATCGATGTTTGGAGAATAGGTCAAGGGGTGGTGGTTTAAATAGGGATAGGGGAAGGGAAGGGGAGTGGCACCGGCCGCGCTTTGGATTTGCTACGTTCAAACGAGCCGCGTCGATCGATGTGCCATTTTTATTGCCAACAAGTTTTAATTGCCACGTTGAATAGATGCGAGTGGATCGAAAAGTGTGAAACAATGCTCTACATCGAGGAGACACGCGTGCGAGATGATACAAACTACCGGCAGCAACCGTCCCTGCGTTTGTGCCGGCTCGCGTGAAAGAGAGGTCGGTCAGCGCATCATGATGGCGGGCAACGGCGCATGCAGGTAGGCTAGCTACGTGTCTGCATGCATAAAAGGCTTTTGTCGTTGCGACGCGCACACGGCCCAACAGTCTAAGCACGGCCCAACGGGCTAATGACGGCACCGTCCACTGCGACCCCATTCGTCAGGTCCAACAGGCGACACAGTCAGCGCGGCCCCACTCGTCAGAGTTAATGGTCAAAGCACTGACCCGACGGCATCCATCGTTTGTGACCAGTTCTGAGGGTTTCGGGCAAGGGAGTGGAGAAAGTGAGCAAAAGTTAAGAGCGTGGGATAAATGAGTATGGCAGGGGCATAGATGTAAAAAAACAAATAAAAAATTGTCGACTGTTTTCCATGTTTGTAGAATTAAAGAAAGAAAGTAAAAAAGAAAAAGAAAAGAGAGAGAAACAAATCATTGCCGAGTGTTTTCTGAAAAAACACTTGTCAAACCCCACTCCTTGTCAACGACTGACTTGCCTAGTGTTGAATTTTCACCGTGTGTTTTTCCTGGGACACTCAGCAAACAACTCGGCACTAGGCAAAATCGACGATTCCGGTAGTGACTACCATCATCATCATCATCATCATCCTTTTACTGTTTTGGGTTTTAGCGTAACACACAATTTTCACAATAAAACCCTTTTGATATGTACTCGGGTCCATTTCTCCGACAGGTATTTCCTGACGGGGGGAATAGAAGACACGCTGGAGTAACATGCTTGCATCAAAGTCTTTGTGATACTAGCAAATGTGGAATTGTTCCTTGCTGCTTGGTCTGATTTGGTGGTTCTTCATCATGATAATTCAATCAAGTACACACAATTCTCCCGTACATATATAATTAATTCTTAGTACAAGACGCCAAAAGCAACAGATTACAAAGACAAGACATAGGTAGATAGATACTCCCTTCGTCCCAAAATAAGTATCGCTTATTTGGGGACGGATGGAGTATATAATATTGGAGTTCATTCATTCGTTCATTCTAAAGGGAAGAAGCATATATAGAGGAAGCAAAGCAAGCAGCAAACGGACACGGACGGGCAACGACAACTGACAGAAGCAGTTGAACGCCATCATGCACCAAAGTAGTTCCTCAGGGAGCCTCAAGGGATCCCGAGCTAGACGGGACATAGTCTGTATCACCCAGAAGAGAAAGAAGATTGGATGACTCAATAAGGGACTCAGCTCTGAGCTTGATAAACTGAAAAGTGCCAGAGCCATAGAGGTACATCGGGTCAGTAGGTTGGAGGATGCCTCTTCTGCGGTACTCCACCACAAGGGCAGCGACGCTGAGGAGCTCGCCGCCGTTGCTCAGCTGCTTGGTATGAGAATACCCACTGCATTTGTACCCCGCATAGCACAGCATCTCCGTCCACACCTCGGCGATCATCTCCAACTTAGCAGGTGGGCCAGATTCTGGAGAGACTAGCTCGCGAGCAAGTTTGGTTGCACGAAGCAGTGTACGGTTAGAGGAAATGTCCCTTAGCTTTTTACTATCATTTATATTTTCCCTCTTAAGGTACTCCTGCATCTTACTCTGTAGCAAGCTGACCAAATCCTGGTCTGTATTGTACTTGAGACATGTGAGGCAATAGCACATATTAACATACCTAGTGCGGCTGACCGAGCCCGGCAGCATGTAGGGGCGTGCGGCGAGGAGGAAAACCATGTAATTGGAGATCTCCTCGGTTGCCATGGCAAGGCGACGCACATCATCTGCAGCAGCTTGCCCCTGATCTTTGTGCCAGCGGAGATATAGATCGGTGGCTATGTGCCACACGAGGATGCTCTCATCCAACTCGTTATACAGGAACTTCTCCAGTTTCTCGTACAACTGGAACCTCTTTAAGGCATGACGACCCCTTGAATTAATGATGTGATCTGGCTCGTCCGTGCTATTGGAGCACGAGTCGTAGTCTAGCAAATAGCACTGCTTAGTCCTGAGCACTTGGTTCATCACTAGCTTATTGATAGTTGTGGAGACAGGGATGGAGCTTGAGTAGACCATGGTGTTCCACCGGTCCTCGAACCCCATCCAGCCAGCGAATCTGCTTGTTCGGCTGACCCTGCTGCGGACGCACAAGTCAATCAGGTTGTGTTGCCCCATAGAGTTTGACCACCACCATTTCGACCTGCGCCTCTTTGGAAGGACGAATCGGCGGATAGACGTGATTGCATGAGCAAGCAGACCCCACATGCCCCTTTCTTCTCGGGCGTTTAGAACCAGGCTTGTCCATCTTGAGAACATGGCCCTTAGCACCGAAACCATCTCCAGCGTAACCGCCCCACCTAGCAGAATATACGTGATGACAACATCTGCTCTGCTGTAGTGGTGGTCACCCGCTGACAAGCCCGACCTGTGAAATAGCACAAACGCGACCGCGGTGAACACCGGAGAAATGACGCGAATGCAGAGGCCATACCATGTGTAGATCACCACAGCCTTGCTGTACACGACGTCGTGCATCAGGCTGAGCTGCATCTCCACCACCCTGTACATCTCATCCGCCGAGATGGACTTGGCGTGGTCATCACCGTACAGGTGTTTTGGTACCACAACAATGGGCAACGGCCCCTGAAACATGTCCTTTGGAACATCCAGCAGAAGGTGGGCAGTCCGCAGCAGGCCCTCTGTGTTGTCTCGCTCATCTGTCGGAGGTCCACTCGGAGTATCGGTCGTGTTCTTGTAGAACCGGTATTTGCTACCCGACGAGCTAATGTCTGCATGCTTGAGCGCCCACACCCTCTCCCCGTACTTGACAACGCCCACCACGAACATGAGAACCGCGGCATAACGGAGCAGGGCCTGGGTGCCGACCACAGTGGATTCGTAGAGGATGTAGGAAGCCGCGGTGACCTGCACGGCGAGCGCCTGCAGGTGCCGCAGCCAGAGCCGGTTGTCCTCGATGGCGTAGGCCGTGATGTTGTCCTGCCCGCCAAGGTGCAGCAGCAGGAACGGCGCCCAGAACGCCATCAGCTGGTGATCGGCTGACCTGCTCGTCAAGGAGAGGTGGCCCAGGGTGTACGTCGCGGTCGAGTCGGCCAGCATGTAGGCTGACCAGATGACAGCTCTTAACACGCCAGCAGGAGAAGCATTAGCTGCATCGTGAAGCTCAGCAGCACCACCGCTTGGATCACGTATTCTTGCCAAGGCTCCACCTGCAGCTCCACTCTCGCCATCGGCTGAAATAACAGATAAGGAGTACAGCATAAGATTACACATGATGTTTGGAGTGATAGAGGCTCCAGCTAATTAAGATACTGATCCCAGGACAAAAATAAAAAAAGATGCTGAATGCTAGATGGAATATTGAACATGTGTGTTGGTGCGAGCAACTTACATGGATGATAGCAGCGGAAGTGATCCTGCACACAACCCCGCCACCGGCGCGCTGCCGTCGTCAAGCAGAAGAAGAAATCTGAGGTGTGGAACGAGAGGACCTGAGAGCAGCTAGCTTTGTAGGATGATCATGATCACGACAGAAATGCAGCGTGAGGCCGTGATTAAATGGTCTTCCGTACGAGGTCCCGCAGCGTGCCCTATCAGACAGAAGCGCGTCATCGACCGCTCCTTTTTCTCCTGGAACTTACATTTTTCTTCCCTGATGACCCTAGACAACTAGGTCAAACTCTCCCTTTCAGGCTTCACCGGTGGCGGGAAAGGGATTCCTGGTACCTTCGCTTCGGTTAGTAGTTTATATTAGAGTTTTTGGTTCTCGCTCGGGCGGATGGCGGCTGCTCTTCTTCAAGTTTGTCTTTTGGGCTCTGATTCTCTTCGAGTTCGTCCGCCTGGACGTAGTTGATGAAGATTTGACCTAGATTCCTACCGTCTTTTTGGGACAGTGAGGTTAAGGTTTCTCGTCATGTCACAAGATTTGGTGTCAGATGCTTTACATCTATGTAAGAGTTCAATGGCGATGACTCTAGGTCCAGAGGGGGTTGATCCTTAGCGGCACGTGCACGAAGATTTGCTGATTTAATTTTTTATTATGTTTGAGATATACTTTGTACTTTTGATCAACTTTTATAATAGATTTAATTCTCTTTGCTTACA